CGCGCCGCGGCCCCGGGGGGGCGCGCTGGGGCGCCGCGCTGCGCGGAGCGGCGAGCTTTGTCCGCGAGAGCCGCGCGGGAGGCAGCGCGCGGGGCCGCGGCTCCTGCGCGGCGCTTTCCCCCGGAGTTGCCCGTAGGAGCTCGGTCGGGTTGGAGTGGGAAGGTGGTCCTTGCCTTGCCCTGAGCCGTGTGTTGCCTTGCAGGGGCCTGGAGCCATGGCCGAGCACATGATGATGTCCATGAGCCACAGTGGTCCTGGGCTGCAGAGCTACCGCATGGGGGTGAGCGGGCTGCAGGGACCCCCGCAGCACGGGCAGCATGTGCTGAGGACACTGCCTACCGCCAGCCAGATGATGCCCTATGGAGGGGCGGGCATGGATGGCRCCATGAGGCCAAGACCCAACCTCAGTGGACAGATGGGTCATCACCAGATGCAGAATRCGATGATGTTCAATGGCCCAAGTCAGCAGCAGCAGTACATGGGGCCAGTGGGCACCCAGCAACTCATGGCTAGCATGCATCTACAAAAACTCAACACCCAGTACCAGGGCCACCCACTGGGTATGAGCAATGGGCCCGTGGGAGCCAGTGCCCAGCAATACAGAGTGGGGCCAAGCCAGCACCCAGGCATGCAGCATATGCCCTCGCCAGCGCTGACCTTAAACGTTATGGACACAGATCTCATAGATGAAGAAGTCTTGACATCCCTTGTTCTGGAACTGGGGTTGGACCGGATTCAGGAGTTGCCAGAGCTCTTCTTGGGACAAAATGAGTTTGACTTCATTTCAGACTTTGTTAGCAAACAGCAACCCAGTGCCATCAGCTGTTGAGGTGCTTTGGCCTCCTCCTTGCGTGTCGGTGGTTTTGAGTTTGTTTTAACTTCCTTCTCCGTCTGCCGTCCTCCTCCCTTCCCCTGTCTTGCCCTGTCCTGGATTCCTGATGTCCCCAAAGAGACAATCGTCGGACACTGGCTTGCACTGGATTGCTTTTCTATTCTGTGTGTGKTTTTTTTGTTTTTTTTAATTGGGGATTTCCTGGGGAGGGGATGTGCAGATTGAGAGCTCTTCCTGCAGAGCTGCATTTAAACGACATTAACAGGACTTATGGCTTAAGTAGGGGAAAAAAAGGACCTGTAACTTTCCACGACCCTGCTTTGGGTTCACAAGATGATGGACAGCCTTCAGCCGTGCCAGCAGYTGGATTTGCTCAAGGCTCTGTGTTGCCAGCAAAGCTGAAGGATTCCCTGAGAGAGGATTGTCTCCCTGGTGCATGGTTTGAACTAGTTTTCCCCCTCGCAAGCAGGGGTGGGATTACATGTTTGTTGGGACTCTACTGTGATGGTAAATAGGTCCTCAGACTGGCCTGTTCAGCTTGGAAAGGGGGCAATTCCAGTTAGCTATTTCCTAACTGAATGAGCAAAATGAAGTCTACCTTCAGGAAGGGTTTATATATGTGCCTAAATATTCATCTCTGTACAACTTTGAATTTCAACCTGTACAACAAATTACCTGTAAAATTTACTGAGTACGAGACTGATTCAGGCACAAGGCTTAAAGCTGCAGTCTAGCTCCACTTTTTCCACCTCAGAAACCAAATAAAGACCATGTAACTGTATATTCCAGATCTAATCTTATTTATTATTTTTTCCTTATGATTATTTATTTGCAAGGGCTCCTTTTGTTATTTGGCTTTGGGATTGCTGGGAATGATGCATGGAGTGTACTGCAGCTTTGAGRTACTGGCTTTAAAAAGAGCTTGGGATAGTTTTCAAGCTGCTCTGCAGATAGTCAGTTCAACCCAAGATCTTTATGCTGAATATGTAAGGCTGTGTAAATCCAACACCCTTCTGAATGTGATAAAGATGACTCGATTCCTAATTTCTCCTACTCAGAAAAGGTTGAATGCAAAAGCTGGTGGGGTTTTGTTTCCTCTGCTGTCTCCTCTTTCCAGGCTCCGTGGAAAGCTGCTGTTAACTTCTAGTTGCTGCTGCCCCCTGCTGCTGACAGCTCCTGACAGCTGTCACTCAACCAAGGAGGAATGTACAGATGCATTTTCAAATAAAAGCTGAGATCTCCCATGTGCATGTGTCTAGTGCTTGTATCTGGCACAGGGGTGGTGTCAAGCACTGGGGAGAAGGGGCTCCATTCCCACCCCAGCATCCAGGCGCCAGTGCCTTCCTTCTCATCTGGATTGCAAAGGTTGTGCTTGTAGCTTAGTGCTTGGGCTCAAGAGAATGACTGCAGCGTATGAGCACATAAAGTTCCTCAAAGTATATGASTGGGAGGATGAGACTCCTCTGAACCGAGGGCGAATTCCTCATTCTGACAGTGCTGCCGTGTTGCAGAGCGGCCGCTGCTGCTGGCAAGCTGCACAGCCCTCGTGCGAGCACCTCGAGACTCTCGGACAAGAGGCCGGTCGGCTTGTGSTTCTGTGGGGCCGAGCGCTCTGACAGTTGGCTTGCAGCCCTGTTAGAGGTGCTTCACTGCAGTCTTCTGTCCCTCCCGTGCACAAGAGGTGCAGTCAGCCTCTGTTTGGGATCCCCTTCTCTCTTGGAGCTTGGACTCATTTCTCATTTCCTTTGCCAAAGGGTTCCCAGCACTGAACTTCTGCACGGTTCAGGAATACTCTCCTGTATCCCATCAGCAGCAGTGAGGTTCTGGATGCTGCTGTTGAAGTGGCTGAATAACTAATTGCTTTGGATTACCTGGCGGTATGTTATTTCTTGCACAGCTTGGTAGCAAGTTTTAAAGGCCTGTCCCATCCTTAYGGAAACTTTTTCCAGTGACTTGCTTGTGCCTTCTGGACGGGTGTTCAAAAAATAATGCTCTTCTCTTACAGGGTTTGTGCTGCCTGTGAGTGGGAGAACCCTGCTGGGACTGTTGGCCCTTTGGTGATGGGCAGTGTGGGCAGTGGCAAAGGCAGAGAGCAAGCAGAATAGCAGAGGGTAGGGTAAGCATTTAGGAGTCAGCGGCTGGATTTATTTCTCAGAGTACAAGTAGCTGAAACTCAAAATAATGGAAGCACTTGATCTATCGGTTACAGTTGTAGGTAGAGCAGCGTATATGATACACCACCTTGGCCGACAGTGTCCCAGTTCCTCGTGAAGAATCCTGTGTCCAGCCAAACTTTATCAGTTTCAGGTAGCTTCCTGAARCGGGAGCACATTTCTCTGTGAGAAGCACTTAGCATTTGTGCTTGGAGGGCTATGGAGYACAGTGGGAAAGCGCTTTGGGTTTAAGTCAGACCACAGTGGCTGACTCCTACCAGGCTTAACTAATAGGAGGCTCTCAGAACTGTTGTCAGGATGTGTCTTAATCTTGGTTAAGATTATTTCAAAGTCAACTTCGATACAAATTAAAACTTCAGAGCAGCAATGATCTCCTAAGATATGTTAGTTACCTCTGCATTTTCCAGAATATATGTAAACTGGTCAGTCTATATGACTCCCTAGATAAGCAAAACCAGAAGTTCTTATTCTGCTGTGGCACTATTGCTTCTGGTTAGGTTAGACTGAGTGTCTCTCTTTTTATCAGCCTTCTAATGACATTTTGACTTAACCTCTGCTTGGGTCACCCTCTTCCTGTCTCCTTTTGTATATGCCTTGCATTAGGAACAGAGACCTTGTCACTGCARCGTGAGCTATAGTATAGTGACAGCTTGGATTCCTCTAGTTCTCCCTCCCCCCTCTACTTTGCAGTGAATGTTCTTTTGTCCAGGTTCTCTGGGAAGGTGGTTGGTGCTGCTCAGTCAACAGAAGTGTAAGGTGGCCCGACAGAGAGGTCCAAGTACCAAAGTCTACGAATTAGTTGAAGCCATCCAAGACACCAAGGACACAGCAGTGCAGAGCTCTGCTTTTCACATCTAGCTGACACTGACTTCTTCATCCAGCAACGAGCAGGGGGCTGCTCCAAAGCAGCTGCTGTAGCAGAGCTGCAAATGGCAGCAGAATTACGGGGGCATTCAGTTCGGTGGTTTGGAGGACAAAAAAGTCCTCTGTGCAGGGTGTGCTCTTCAAGCCTGGWGTGAATTTGTCATGTGGAGAGTTTTACTGACAACTGCTTTCAGTGTGGGGCTGCTAGAAAGCAGCTCTTCTGTGGCATAATAGGAGCGTGTTTCATGAGTTGGGGAGGAAGGATTCATCCTCTCTACTGCCTAGTCCAGATGGAAGGGTTGGGATGCAACCACCCATCCTGTCCACCGCACAAGTGACTGCTATAATCCAAATGTTTGGTTGTTTTTTTGCTATTATTTTCTATTTGCTATTATTTATTTGCTATTATTTATTTGCTATTATTT